TTATTACCAGCGTCACAGACGATAGTAAGATGCGTATATGAACCGACTCATCTGGTAAGTCGCAGTTAGTGCAAGAAACATGCGTTTAAATGCGACGCACGATTGTTATCTGGGAAGTCACTAATCCCGACAAATGTTCACCAAATTAGCAAAGTTTCTTACTATTTCGTCCAATAGTTCCAAACAACTGTAGTAAAACTCAGAAACATTGTGTACGTAAAATTACTATAGTCGTTGTAAATGCAGAAAGAAAGAGTGAAAAGAAAAAATACGGATTTTTGTCGCCGGTTTCCCGTCAATTCTTGACTAGTGGAGGTAAACTGGAAGGATTTTTACATACACAGACACACACACTCACACACTTATATATTTGTTGTTGGATAAATATTTGAAGACACACACATGTTTATTTCACTTATATGTATAGACGCGGTTAATTAATACACTAATACACAACTGCACGCACGACAACGAATTTCACTGAAAGTATACATCTTTGTTTCCTTATATATTGAATGATGAAAATTTACAGCACTTACGAGAAAGCAGTTTACTTTTAACAACTTATTATAAGACATACTTCTTGGGACAGGAATAAATGCAAAATTTATTAATTTATAATGGTCAATTTCTGAGATACCGAACGACCTACGTTTCACTTTATATTTAATTATTGTAGATAATATCCAAATTTATTTTACATACGCGAAACATAGTCACTGTCAATGATCGGAAGGCATCGGCTCATTTACGGAGATTGACGAGGTTAGCAACCAATAGAAATACAGGCGCCATATGACTGCACTCGCTAGCCACACTTGCTCACCAAAAATTACTACAGTGGATAGAAGATTTTAGTGGAAAATGTTTTCATTTGTCAGATTTTGTCTAATTAAATTAGAGAAAACTATAATCAATTTTCGCTACATTTACAACTCTTACACAAAATATTAAAACTTGCTATTTCAATGTAGCAAATTTATCTATTTCTTTTGTAAATTTATCTAATTCTGTAGTACATTATGCTAAAAGTCCCCTTATTTCCGGTCATTGCAACCGTTTTTAGTAATTTTTACGAATGTGGGTCTCTCCGTGTATTAAAGGCGGAAGTGTTTGAAAATACTAACAAAGCGATCATTTCTCATTCAAATTTAAGATTAAATTTAAAATTGTATACAATTTATAAAAAAAATTGTTGTTTTTCTTAACTATATATAATTAAATATAGTAAATTAAATTATTTTATTTCGTTGTATATTTAAATGTGTGAATCCGGGAAAAAATAATGTTTTCGTGATCGCGTTCAATCGCGTTCTCATTTAAAAAGAAATAAGAAAAGAATATTTTCAGTCAGGGTTTTTTGGTAAATATAGAGAAACGGTTTTGAACGGTTTGATATCACGGTCTCATTTCGAGAGGATAAAATTTTGCGAGAAAATTATTTTATTAACGTTATTAACGATTTAAAGTGGAGTAATTTGCGAGGTTATAATACATTTCCTTAGTTAAAGTCGCGGCCACTTCCGAGAATCGGCGCCACCTCCTTGACCACTGACACATAGATCCACTTGTCTGTGTGCTCGCCGCCGTATTGTCTCTCACTTTCGCCAAAAATCCAACTTTTGTCATTTCGTTTTTCAATATTTATTTAAAAAATTACTTGCAAATTCCGAGAATATTCTTTATCATCATGAATTCCACTAATTATCATGATAAATCGGAACTAAGTATCTCTAATTATTTAGGAGTGAGATATGAAACGTGGGAAAACACTTTTTGGGGGCGATTTTTCCAAACAAATGTTTTTAAACATTTCTCAATCAACAATTTTCAAAAGAAAAATTTTACATTTTACATTGATTTAATTGAACGGTCAATTAATCGGTTATTTGAATCAAATAAATTTTTTTCAGTGTAAAATTTTTTCAGACAGAAACTATTTGTTTAAAAATTAAAAAATTTTTGCACTATAGAAATTTTATTATCGTTTAATATAAAATATTCCTCATTTTTCAAACTTTATGTATTTTTTTAGCCTTTCCCATTCTATTAAACACAATTTTTAAATTAAAATTCAGAAATCTAAATGATTTCCTCTTCAGGAAGTTTATCCAAAAAAATATACAAAATTAAAATAATAATAAAAATTATTTACATGATTAAAATAAAAATAATTTAACAATAAATAAATAAAAATAAAAATTAATGGATAATTATCTTACCAAAAAATAATATAATTAAAATAGATGAAGACTTAAATTTTTATGCCCTGACGATGGAGTAGAGTTTCGAGTAAAAGAAAATTATAAAAAACCTAATATTCATCAAATAAATTAAAAAATAATTGAAAAAAATTGTTTAAATTTAACATTGTGAAAAATAACAATCAATAATAAAATTAGTAACAAGTTAATAACAAATTAAAAATTAATTAATAAAAAAAAATTAAAATTTATGAAACATTAAAAATACAATTATGAAAATTAATAATAAATAGCACATGCAAAATAAATAATAAAATACCATAAATAAATAAATAACGGTTCACAATACAATAATTCATAATAAAATAAATTAATAAAATAAAAATATGTAATTTCTCAAATTAATTAAAAATATCTATACGTATTTTAAATTGCAACGTCAAATTTAAAACTGAGCTCCAAACTCTATCGAGTCATTACATTATAATGAACATTATAATTATCTATTAATTTTTTTTTTATTTATTTTTAAATTATTTTTATTATTATTTTTTTTTTGCTTAGGGAATTTTGGGAAATCTGCCTACAGATACCTTGGATTCCGCACTCCAAGGTTATGTGGGGTTATTTAACTAATTAAAAAAATTAATTAATAATTAATTTAATAATTAAATAAATTATTTTAATAATACATTTAATAACTAAATTAATTAATTTAATTAATAATTAAAAAATTTTGTTTTAATTAAAAAAATAATTAATAACTTTTTATTATAAAGGAAATTAATTACAATTAATAATCAAAATATTTTATTTTATTTATAAGAAAGTTAATTAAAAATAATAATTAGGTTTTTTTATTTTAAATTAAAAGTTCTTTATTTTTAAAAATTTTATTTTAAAAAATTGATTGATTAGTTTTTATTGAAAAACACGTTGTTTTCAAAAAAGAAAAGTAGGTAGTGATATTGGCGAGAAATGAAATTCTAGCCTTTCACGACTCAAAAAACGCGATTTCCAAGCGGTATCCTTGGAAACGGCGAAAAGTTGAAGAGGGCAGCACTAACATACACTGAAAATTTAGTATGCTATATGTATCGGTAGTCCCCACCATCGACCCTCGCCGCATCTAGTATATTTATCTAAGCATTTACCATATCTTTAAAAAGTTAGTCATATATATTAGATTAAGCAGTCAAAAGATATCTTGACCACCGCAAAAGCAATTTTTTGGAAAGGGGCCCGACGAACTGTTGTTACGGGCATGATTTTTAATATTTCATATCAAAAATTTGATATTTTATTTATTTAATAGTGTACTTTCAGAAACCAAAGTGTTCAAATAAAAAAATTTATTTATTTGATGAAAAAAAGTTATTAAAAGAAACTACGTTTTCTGGTCGTTTTGACCCCCCTGCTGGAAGTAAAGAGATACAAAGAGATAGAAAAAAGGGGATAAAAAAAGATTAGAAGGTATAATAGTTTGGGGATGCAAAATGGATACTTAAAGGAGATACAAATTGTTTATCTCTTTCTATTACCTTATTTATATCTCTTTTTATCCCTTCTAATCTCTTTATATGTAGTTTTAGATATAGAAGTATATAGAAAAATTGCTTGAAGTAAAGAGATACAAAGAGATAGAAAAAAGGGGATAAAAAAAGATTAGAAGGTATATTAGTTTGGAGATGCAAAATGGATACTTAAAGGAGATACAAATTGTTTATCTCTTTCTATTACCTTATTTATATCTCTTTTTATCCCTTCTAATCTCTTTATATGTAGTTTTAGATATAGAAGTATATAGAAAAATTGCTTGAAGTAAAGAGATACAAAGAGATAGAAAAAAGGGGATAAAAAAAGATTAGAAGGTATATTAGTTTGGAGATGCAAAATGGATACTTAAAGGAGATACAAATTGTTTATCTCTTTCTATTACCTTATATATATCTCTTCTTATCCCTTCTAATCTCTTTATATGTAGTTTTAGATATAGAAAGAGATAAAAAATTAGGGATACAAAGTGGTGAATTGAAGTAGATAGAACTTTTCTATCTCTTTCTATTCCTACATTTCTATCTCTCTCTGTATCCATTTTCATATCTCTTCTAATCTAAATAAAGGCAAAAAAGAGATATAGAAAGGGATATACTAGTAGATTAGAAGAGATAAACTTATTATATCTCCTCAAATCCCCATATTCTTAACTTTTTCTATCTCTTTTAAATGAAGTAAGGAGATAGAATATGGGATTGAAAGAAGATTAAAAGAATACCATTTGGAAAAGAAGAATGATAAAAAGGAATAGAAAAAGTTTATCGCTTTGCAGTCTCCCATTTCCATCTTTTTCTATCTCAACTTATATCTCTTTTGCATTTCTAATAAAAAAATGAAAAAGATGAAAACGAATAACTTCACTACCGCTTTAAGCGAATGTTATCAATTTTTATTAAGTTGGAAATATTTTTTTAATTTCTGCAGTCATTTATAGTAAGAATATTTTACTAACTTCTTTGTGGACATTTAGAAGGACATTTTTCTCTTATGACTCTTTAAAATTAATTTTTAAATGAGAAAAGCCTAATTATCAAAAGTGATATAATAAAAAAATATTCTTATTTTTTAAAAAATGTCACAAATTAAATTAAATATTTTAAAAGGCGTGTTTTTATGTAAAAATAAAGGTTTTTTGTAATTATTGTTATTTATTGACATAAAATTGTAATTTACAAAAAAAATTACAGTGAAATACGAAAGTTAAAATCAAAGTTAATATATTTAAAAAATAATATTTCTTCATGTTGTAAGCTCAGGTATTTTTTCCAATTCCTTATCCACTACGTCTGTATCATTCTCCTATAAAAAATAATATTGTTATGAAATTAATCCATTAACATTTTAATGTTTCGAATAAAGATTGTGAAGAAATTTAATAACTGTGAACGCCAAAAATGGAATACTCAAACTTTTGTATAATACTTAAAAAGTAATTTAAATTTATACAATTATTTTACCATTGAGTTTTCATTCAATTGGTGAACTTCTTTTTCAGTTTCTTCAGTATTTTCCTGCTGGTGCTGAATGTTTGTCGGGTTTACTGCATTTTGACCGTCTATAAAAAATTATTAATTTTATAAGTCATACGCTTAATTTGAAATATTATATTTACTTATAATTAATTGAATTAACTTATTAAAGTAATTATACTTACTGTTGGCAATTCTTTTGCAGTGCCTTTCCCGGAGTTTTGTTATGTATTGGCTTAAAATAATTGGCACATCATTTTTAAAAACATTTATTGTTGACTTATCATACGGAGGAGTGCATTTTTCGGCCCAATTTTCGAATGATTCTGAAAAATAAATTATATATTAAATATAAAATTATTTTCTTTATGTACTATAGGTGCATGTAATTATTATTTTACATAATTTACCTTGAATAGCACATATTTTTTGGGGATCAAGGCGCGGACGTGCAATTGAGTTAATTTTCCGAGTCCTGTTCGATACTTTCCCTGTAACGCTGCTATTTATAAGTATTTGAAACCCAAAGCACGCCTCAGCTAATTTATTTATAAAAATTTTTGGTGTCCTGGATGTAATTGCAACGACATCATATTTACTTTGTTCCAACCAAATATCATTTCCTAAGTGCACCTGTAATAAAAACATTGACTTAAATTAAGTTACTGCACAATACTGTTTGTTAATTCCTTATTAAAAAGTTAAAACAATTTATGTGTATAGAGTAAATAGAAGGAAAACTATAAAATACCTTATTTTTTTTAATTGACCCCACTTTGTCAAACGTACGTTTTCCAACGGCATTAGCACAATTTACTTCAATGTCTTCAATATTTTCTGTGAACAAAAAGAATGATAATGATAGATCATTTTGTTTCTGATAAAACATTTCTAGAAAACTATTGTGATATTTTTTTATTTGGTGCATTCATAATTTTACAAAGTATATTACAATATATAATACAATTTACAAATACATACTGTCTAATTCATTTAGTCTTGACAGTAATTTATCTTGTAGACCAGCATTTCGACGTCTCAAATCCTGTATGTCGGTATTCTTTTCATCTAAGTCCTTTCTCATTTCTGCTATTTGTTTGTTCTTCATTGTAATTTGATTTCTTAACAATGCTACTTCTTCTTTTAATCTTCCAACTTCAGTTGGTGATAAATCATAATTTTCATAATCTTGGTAGTTCGATAGTTTTCTCTAGAATTAAAAAAATGTATATAAATTTTTCAAACATTCACGTAAATGTAAAACTAAAAAAACAAAATTGTGAGAAAACAAAAGGAGAAAGCTTTTATTTTTATCACTCATTAAACGTCATTTAAGACTTTGAATATTAGAAGGGCATGTGTAGTTATTTTAAATCAAAAAAATTCTATAGAGTATTCTATAGAATATTTTGTAAAATTTATCTAAATTTTTTTTAAATTTCTAAGCGAATTCTATAAAATATTTCTAGTCAAATTCTATAGAATTCGTGCAAATATGCACTTAAAATATTTTTTTTGACAAATTCTATAAAATGTTCTATAGAATATCATTGTATATATAAAATAAAATATATGAAAATATGAATTCTCTATAAAGAATTTTTATTTCATTACCTTTTTTCCGTCTGCTGTGATTATATTATCAACATTGACTCGTTTGATATCAGTTATTCTCAATTTGTCCTGTGTCTGAAAAATCAGAATTATTTAATTAATGCATGCAATAATGTTAATACTTTTATATTTTACGTTACTTTAATAACTATTTATTAAATATAGAATATATAGAATATCATACATTTTACACGCATATATTTTATATAAAAAATTCAATATTTTAAATATTTATATGAAACAATAACATACAATACTGTTTTCTTCCAAAATGCCATCGATGCCATTGTTATCATTTTCAAAGGTATCATCTTCACTAGTACCACCATTATTATCATCATCATCAACATCATCATTATCATCGGTATAATCACTATTACTAATATTTGTATCATCATTGTTATCATTAATGCTATTGGTGTGCTTCTTAGTCGTAGGCGTTGTCTCTTCCCTTACTTTATTCAGATATTTTCCTTGAAGTTTCTCAATTTTTAGTTGAAGCATTGGTGATATTTCTTCTGACGGTCTATTGAAGACACGCTTAAAACTTTTTCCATGCGTTTCCTTTTTATTTGATTTTTCAGTCTCAGATTCAGATGATGGTGGAATTGATTTACTGATTGGAGGATATTTTGGTCTATCAGTTTTCATTTTCTCCAACGCTTCTTTTTTTGTATCTGAAAAGTATGTTTCCAAAATGAAAAAGTTATAAATACTAACAAAATACACAGAAAAATAAAATATCTATTTAACGAATTAGTAATGAAGAAGAAGACTTTCATTCATATACTATTCATCCCTATTAAAAATTTACACGTGTAGATTTGGCCACATGTAATTACACGTGTATTTTAAACTTTGATACTTTTTCAAACCTTTCTAGAATTTATACACGTGTAATTGCACGTGTATTTTATACTTTGTTATTTTTCAAACATTTCCAGAATTATTACACGTGTATTAATTAATTACACGTGTGATAATAATGTGTAATTACACGTGTATTTTATACTTTGAAATTTTTTCAATAATTTCGACAATTGTTACACGTGTAATTTGTACTTTGATATTTTTTCAAAAATTTCGAGAATCGTTACACGTGTAATTACACGTGTATTTTATACTTTGTTATTTTTCAAACATTTCGACAATTGTTACACGTGTAATTACACGTGTAATTTGGACTTTGATATTTTTTCAAAAATTTCGACAATTGTTACACGTGTAATTGCACGTGTATTTTATACTTTGTTATTTTTCAAACATTTCCAGAATTATTACACGTGTAATTTGTACTTTGAAATTTTTTCAATAATTTCGACAATTGTTACACGTGTAATTACACGTGTAACAATTCTCGAAATTTTTGAAAAAATATCAAAGTACAAATTACACGTGTAACAATTGTCGAAATTATTGAAAATATTTCAAAGTTTAAAATACACGTGTAATTACACGTGTAACAATTTTCGAAATTTTTGAAAAAATATCAAAGTACAAATTACACTTGTTATTACACGTGTAATAATTCTAAAAATGTTTGAAAAAGTATCAAAGTATAAAATACACGTGTAATAATTCTAAAAATGTTTGAAAAATAACAAAGTATAAAATACACGTGTAATTACACGTGTAACAATTCTAGAAAGGTTTGAAAAAGTATCATAGTTTAAAATACACGTGTAATTACATGTGGCCAAATCTACACGTGTAAATTTTTAATAGTCAAAGCCTTTTTGAGAAAATTCAAAACTTAAAATATAAATTAATCAGAAATGATATACTTTATAAAGAAATAACAATTACATTAAAATAATCATTTTCCTAAATAATATATGGGCTATTCCACGTGAGATTTATCTATACCCACACAGCACCAAAACTTTCCTGAAAATTTATTAAAGATTTACTTGCAAACTTCGAAAAATTTACTTGCAAAGTTCAGTGGAAATTGTGTAAAGATTCAAATGTTCCACTTAAATAAATGTTTATAGTCAAATTTTCCTAAAAATTTAACTTAAAACTTTCCTGAACATTTAAATTAAATTTTCGACTTCTCTCTTATAAGCGAAAATGTAACTTAAAACTTTCCTGAAAATTTAAATTAAATTTTCGTTTATGTACAGTAGGCAAAATTTTTTTTTAAATTTTCAGGAAAGTTTCACGCTAAACATTTATTGAAGTGGGACATTTAAATCTTTACAAAATTTTCACTAAACTTTTCAAGTAAATACTTCGAAGTTTGCAAGTAAATCTTTAATAAATTTTTAGGAAAGTTTCGGTGCTGTGTGGGTATACCTTTCAAATTCAAATTCGCTAACCCGACGAAGTGTACTTTAAGTTCATTTATTGAATATATCTCCTTTTTATTAATTTTTTTTTTAAATTTGTTATAAACAGCAATAGTTAACAAATAATTAACTTTGGTTAACCAAAGTTTATAACTAAAAATTTTGAAAATTTTTTAATAAAAAGGAGATATATTCATTAAATGAACCTAAAGTACAATATAATTATGAAAGAATAAAGTATTTTGATGGAGAGGAACCAAAATAAACTATTTGTTAACTAAAATTGTTTATAACAGTTTACATAAATTGTGATATGATCTGCTGATGTTTATGTGGAGATCAAATTATTATGTAATTTAAACTGATTTAAGACATGCGTAGTAATTTAAGTAAATTTCAAAGTTCTATTTCAAAAACCCACTTGCATTTATTTTGTACAAAGAATTTGTCCAGCATGTGTTTATGTTTGAATAGATAAACAAGAAACGAAAAGTTTGTGAATTTATGAGACACTTAGACAGTTTAGAGTATATAAAAAGGCCGGTGTCCCTCCCGTGGAGTGGTCGTAAAAGGAAATTTGAGATTGAAAGTAAAAGGGAAACTAAAACGTAATATTTGGGAAAACCCATTTTTTAAGAATTTGATATTATTATTGTGTTTCTTTTAATAATAATTTATTTATGCAAAATAATTTTTTGCCTCGATTGTTTTAAATCACACTGTCCTTAATAATTATATATTTATCAAAGAGGTGTATATATTTTATTACTTTTATTAATATCTCATATACTGTATAATTATTCTTTTTCTATTCAATACTTTTTATACACAAAATTGAAAAATCTTTTTCCACATTGATTCAATAGCATATTTTGTCATTGTAGAAATGAAAGATATAATAAAAATTATTTATATTTAAAAAAAATTAAAATTATTTTTATTTTTTATATATTAAAAATTGTAAAATATCAGATCTGAATTAATTATTTAATAATTAATTAAAATTATTATTAGTTAAATTAATTAATTTAATTATTATAATTATTATATTATTGTTTTATTATTACAGTCCTGGAAAAAATTGAATTTTGGAGAAGTTACAAACGATTGCAGAAATTTAATTATTTTCAAAAGTAATAAAATTCTTCACAGAAATTCAATTATATTCAAAAATTTAAAAAAATTATCCTCAAAATTCAATTATCTTTAAAAATAATAAAATTCTTCTCTGAATTTCAAGTATTTTCAAAAAATTTAATAAAATTCAATATCTAATATTTTAATAAAATTTTTTAAAAGAATTGAAATATTTATAAAAAAATATTCATAAAATTCTAAGCAAACATTAAATTATTTTCATAAATAGTAAAAATTTCACAGGAGTTCAACTATTTACAAATTTTTTATAAATTTCTTCGCAATAATTTAATTATTTTCATAAATAATTTTTTTTTAAATTCAATTATTTTCATGAATAATAAAACTCATCATAAATTTCAATTTTTTTTAAAAATGAATATCAGTTAAAATTTTAGATAATTGAATATTAAAAGCATAATGGCATGAATTTATAAAAATAATTTATAATTGAATTCTTTCGAAGAATTTTAATCAAATTTTTGAAAATAATTACATTTTTCGAAGAATTTACTTAAAATTGTATAAAAAATAATTGAAATCCTGTAAAGAATTTTATTTATTTAATGAAAATAATTGAATTCTTGAAATGAATTATTTCAAATTTTTTTTAAATAATTGAAATAATGTAAAGAATCTTATTATTTATGAAAATAATTGAATTCCTGCAACGAATTTTATTACATTTATTTTCAATAATTGTATTCTTTTGAGAACCTTTATTAAAACAGTACATTCTGAAAATATTTGAATTTCAACGAAGAATTTCATTATATTCGTGAAATATAATTCAATTCTTGCAAAGAATTTAAGAAAATAATTCCATTTTTCTAGGAACAACAAAATTAATTTTTTGTAGCAACCCTGATTTAGTCGAGACGTGGACATTTGCTTTGACTCCTCTCCTCCCTTGTGAACAAAAATCATACGAACAAAATAAAAATTTCGTAGGATAATATCCACGACGGACAACTATTGTACAGTAGAGTCTCAGATAACACGAAACAAATGAAAATTTCAAAATTTTTATTTTTTATGTGTTTAAAGAGTCAGGTAGTAGTGAACGGCTCAGTGCTTGTCACAGCTACTCGACTGATATTATCCCTTACGACCGCGCGCTGATCCCCATATTGTAACGAGACAATCATTCAATTTAAAAATCAACTAATTAAAAAATGTTCTGCTAAAAAAATTATACTTAATTTCAAATTTTTCAGTGAACACTTTTATTTTGATGTGTAGTTATTTGGACAATTTGCAAATTCGATCGAAGGGAATTCAAATTTGTAAGACTTATGTAAAGTAACATTTCGTAATAAAAATTGTTTACAGAACTGAAGATTTTATGAACTGTTAATTTTGACAATTTACAGTCAAATAAATGAAAATTGAAAAAAGAAAATCGATGTAAAGGAAATTCTGATAATGAAATTTTATAAAATTATAATTATATTATTATTATGTACATTTTCTTATTTATAGACCAAAAAATAAATATATAAAAAATCACTTACTTGTTATAAACATTACGAATGCAGAACATTTTCCCTTCACAGAACACTTAATATAAAACAGTTTATTACTATCAAAATTTGCTGGATTAAATTTACTTTTTATTTCACTTATATTTATAACATCAATGTCTTCGTGGCCTAGACAAGAGCGAGAATACTTCACACCAGCAAACATAGTCCTTTTAATTTTGTAAAAAAGCACGAACTTATATTTAAATTCACTTTAAACACATTAAAAATTTCAAAACTATATTGAGTAATTATTTAACACTGAAGATCGTCCCGCTTAGACTTGCTATATTGTATGGTATATTGCAACTATACTAATAGCCCGGCATATACCTACAGACGAAGATTTGGGTCTTGGGGTTGTTCCCCTTCCATCACTGCTGCGCAAATGCAGATATACTTAAATATTTCTTATTTCGTTGTTAATAATTTTTTCTAATAAATTTTTGATTATTTAATATAAAGTTTTTGTAAATTTTTAATTATGCACAAAATTATAATATTCTCAATATTATAATACTGTAAAATATATAGTTCAAATATTTAAAAAAAAAATTGATTCTTAAATTTACTTATATCAAAAGAATCAATATGTTGTCTTTTTACTTACCGAGATATTATTTTGTGTATGTATTCAGATTAAAATCTTTGGAAATTTGAATTTTTCATATTTTTAACTAACAATTCTGTGAAATTAATTTTTTTTAGAAACTTTAATTGCGCACTTTTTTTAAATTATTTAAAGTCTTTATTTTCTAATATATTATTTTATTGAAGAATTTATGAATAATTAAAATTTTGTAAAATTGAATTGTAAACAAATGAATTTAAAAATTCTTATAGAACTTTTTCAAAAATTACTAAAAATAATAGATTTATAGAAGATGTTTCAAATTTAATTTTGAAAAAATTATTGCAAAAATTCAATTATTTTCAAGAGCAATAATATTCTTCGCAAAAATTAAATATTATTCAAAAGTAATAAAATTCATACATTATTGTATGAATTTTTAGAAATATTAATTGAATTTTGAAAAGGTTTCAAACTATAATCTTTGAAAATTTTAAGTTTTATACTTTTAACTTAGAATTCTGTAGAATTGTTTAATCAATTATTTACGAATAATTGAAGTTTCGTAAAATTGCATTTTGTAAACAAATGGATTTGAAAATTGTCAAAGAACTTTTTCGAAAATTATTTAAAAAAATCAATTTAAAGAAGAATTTTAGTTAAAAATTATTGTAAATAATAATTGAATTGTAAATGATTTACACTGTAAAAAGAAAGGTACTAATTTAGTACCAATTTTGGGTACTAATTCGTCATTTGGTTCTATTTTAATACCGAAAATCAGCTCTAATTTAGAACCTTTTATTTACAGTGTAATCAATCTGCCATGATTTTTAATTATTATAAAACATGAAGAAATCGATGACTCCGAGTCGAAGATTTGGAGTTATCGATATCTTTATGTTTTCTAGTTATGAAAAATTTAATTTATAGTTTTAAGTAAAAATGTTCTCTTATTTGACTCAGACTGGTAATATTTTTGTAAGTAATTGGTCCGTATAGTACGTATTTTTAAACAGTTTCACTGGTTCGAGCCCTGTTAAAACTACTTTCTGATAGTTGTTAAGTTATAGATATGTTAAAATACGATTAAAACAGGTAATTTAGTTAATGAAACATCTGTTCATTTAACAACATCTTTAAAACAATTATAGAGTAAATAAATTAAAATTTCAAAAGAAAATTTTTCTTTTAAATTTTAGGTCTTTCTGGGGGACAAAAAATAAGACTATTTTCAGTGCGATTCATAAAGTTTAACTATATTTTCTTTGCATTTTTAATTTAAAATAAATACGTTTTTTGGTCATATACTAGCTTATATACTAAAAATAGTATATATTCTTAACTTAAGAATATTTTTTTTCAGTGTAATTGAATCAGTGGTATACTTATCGCTGGGAAATTAGTGAAATTTTGCTAATTCAGATTTAGAGAGTAAACATATGATGTTCTATCTCTTACTCCGTTACAATACAAAAAGAGCAAAATTGTGTTTTTGAAAAGAAATATTTTTTACAAATATTGTATAGAAAATTTATTTCTCTACAATATTTTTTTTTACTTTTTTTGCGTGTAAAATTTGTCACATCTGTAACGGCTTAAAAGACAACCAGGTATTAAGGTTTCTACTTCCCTCTATTTTATGACTTTTCTAGTGCCCTTTTTTATATTACTTATTTAGGTAAAAGAATTTTATAAAATGTGTCGAGTGAAAATAAACCGAAAGAGTGTTTGAAAACTGGCATGCCTGGAACCATAAGTTGTATTGTTGAATTTGTCAAGACACACTCAATTCAGTAAGTCTTGATTTTTTGAAAGAGAAACATCTCGTAAAATGCGTGGGTCTTAAAAAGTGATATTTAAAAATGTTTAATATTAAAATTTACAATAAATTTAAATTTTATAAATAAATGAAAGTGCAGTTTTTTAGTTTTTAAAAACATTTTCATGTAGAATATGAAATTCTAAAAAATGGATCGTGAAAATAATAAGCTCTTGTCACGAAGGAATAAAAGGTTCGTTGATGCTGACTATAACCCGAAAGATGTACACCCAACAACTCGTTGGAGATGGCGAAAGAAGTTATGCTTGCGGAATAATATTAATGCAGGTAAAAACTTACAGTAAAATATTTAGAATTTAAAATAACTCATATGCTCGAGAAAATATAAGTTTATATAGTTTAACTTAACTTTTTATAGCTTATCTGCTTATTTTGTATGCTTTTTCTTTTTTATAAATAAAGACAAAACTTTTGTTCAATTGAACAAATATAAAAAAATATTTTCTGGTAGAGAATACTGCAATAAAAGATATAGAATTAAAATATTTTGAGGGAGCATCCATAAATAACGTTACACGATTAGGGGAGGGGGGGTCGAAAAATGCAACTGACTGCAACAAGGGGGGAGGTGGGTGATTTTGAAATCTAACGTTGCGCACTTCTATGCTCTTATAAAATTAATAATTTATACATTTTTGAAGGTATAAGTCATTTTTGCAACGTTTATTTAGGGGGGGGGGTTGGTAATTTGCAACCAAATGCAACGAAGGGGGGTGGGGGTCAAAAAACCCCAAAATCAGTGTAACGTTATTTATGGATGATCCCTGAAATGTTTATACAAAATTTCAAAAATGACATTCGTATAGAATTAAAGGCATTGTAAATTTTGGTCATATTTGGATTTTATATGTATATATAATATTGCCATATTGCATTGTCAGTCGAATCGAAGAATTCACCTGCCGTGCGGTTACAATAAGGGATACTACCAGTCAGGTAGTAGTGTGTGGCCTAGAGACGATCACTCTTCGATTGTAGACTTCATTAATATTCTTTTTAATTTCGTACGCATTTCAATTCTGATTGACAATCAGATTGTCTACATGTCAGTAAAGTCAGGGAAATGTAAAGAAAACAAAATTTTTCCAGTAAAGTAAGAGAAATGAAAGGAAAAAAAATTTTTTGCCAAAGAATATAATAACATTTTAGAATTGTTTTTAATATTTTGAAAACAAATTACATGTTCAAAATTTTTAATTAAAATTCCTCCAAAAATTAGTCTTATTATTTAAATTGTACAAAAACTCTTTTATGAAATTCAATTATTTTCGAAAAATAACATTAAAACATTTCTAAAAACTAATTTTTACAATTGATTCTTCTCAGAATAAGAAATATTGATTAATATTTTCTTGTACTTTTCAAATAATCAATTAATTTTATAAGATTTTACCAAATTTAAATTGTTTGGAAATTTTTCAATTGTATATAATTAAAAAAACTATTACCTTTCAAGAATTATTTTAAAATGATATTAAAAATTAATCGTAAGAATTTCTTTATTATTATAATTTTTTGAAAATATTATACCTTAATAATTTAAGAAAAAGACATGGACAGTTACAATTATTATAAAAATTGAGGTTTTGTAATTAAATAATTGAATTCTAGAAGAACTTTCGGAAAATTATTTCAAATCGTAAAATAATTGATTTAGAGATTTATTTATTTATTTATTCATAAACGGGCAAAGTTTTTCATTTAGATGAAAATTGTAGAAAAAAATTAAATTCAGATAAGGTTATAATTTTAATTTTTAGAAACTGTTAAAATTTATAAATACTCGTTTTTCGTAAACTTTCGTACTTTACTGTAAAAAGAATTTTGCCCTAAAAATTAATTTTAATGTTAATAAATTGTGGAGGAAATGTCAATAAAATTCATATATCTAAAACTTGTGACCACCCTAACAATTTAACTGCAAATATGACCAAAATTTACAATATGGTTTTAATTATATACCAATGTCATTTTTGAAATTTTTTTGTTGATCTTATTAAAGATATCATATCAAAAGTAAACGTCTACAAATGTAAGCGTAAATGAAATTTCTTTGTTATTCGATCGTTTCGTTTATATTATGCAGATAACATTCCAATTCTATTTAGATATTTTTAAAAAATAGTAATTTTCAATGTTTTACAAAAATTTGAATAACTTCTAAAGTAATGAACGCAAGCTTATTTTAAAGGTTATTTTTTACAGAATGAGGATTATTTATAGTCATTAACGTGTAATTTTTTTCTTTGAAAATGCAGGTCGTCAAAGTTGTAATTATGTTACATTGTGGAGTTACTAATATAACATGTTATTACTATAATAACTAGCACAAATAACGCGCGCTAAAGCGCGCGTGAAGTTTCTTATTTCACTTTTAACATATATAACAATAATGTAATTTTTACTTTACTTGTCACATGAGAATAAGACTTAAATTTGTATTCCGTTAAGCATGTTATATTTTAAGGTTGACTATTTTTCATAGAAAAGCGTGATTTCCAATGAGACGATAATGAAAGATATGTTTATTACAGTATTTTTGACTTATTAATTATCAAAAATAAATTACATTTAATTACAATTAATTACTTATTTGTTATTTTGTTTCTAATAGTTTTCTAGTCAAAATTAAATAATATTATTTTCATGTCATCAACATTAAAAAATATTCAATTACTCAGAAGAATTCTACACAAAATCACTATTTTTCTAAATTTATTCAGGGAAATCAGGAAAAAGTCAGGGAATTTTGTCAAAAGTGCTGGAATAATATATTCAATTTCAAGAATTCATAAGAAAATTCTGAATGTTATTCTTCAGCGTTGAAAAGATTTTATTTATTTCAAACTTTTCCTGATTTAACAATAATTAGACTTTACA